CCAGATGTTAACTGATGGACTGGAGTGCTGTGGATTACTTGTGGATTATTGTGATGTTTTTATCAGCTCTCGTTCTGACGGCACCCATTCACTGCAGAGCATCCATTGCTGAGACACTGATGCAATGCTGCATTTCTCCAAACCTGATGAAGAAACAAACTCATACCTGTATGGGTTAGGGTATCTCTGCCAGAAGGCCGTCAGCACCTGCTCCCACGCGCTCTTGATGTCGGTCTCGCTGAAGAAGTGCTTCCCCATCATCACGAGCCCAGCAGAGCCCCAGCAACAGAGTCCTGAACAGAGGAACCATCACATCTGAAGGATCAGAGCTTTCACACAGTGAAGTTACTGCATTCATAGACCATGGGATTTACATGCTGAAAAACACTTTTGGTAACACTTTATTTTAAGGTGTCCTTGTTACACATACTTACTATTATAATAACAATTAATTATGCATAATTACATGCAAGAAGCCAAATCCTAACCCTAACCATATAATAAGTACATACTCTGTACGTATATGTATAATTACACTGTAACAAGAACATCTTAAAATAAAGTGTAACCATACTTTTTTTTTCTTTTTTTTTTAAAGTGGCATAAACTGTTACATTGGCGGGAAAATATGGTTGGCATAGTGATATTTTGAAGCGGAAGTGGTTTTAGCAGATAAACCATAGCGCATAACACATGATGGGCTTATTTTAGAGTTCATATGATGATAAAATAATGTTTAATGGCATTAGAGTTTATCTTCCGTAATCCGCTTTAGTGAAGAAATCGAATAGCGTAATTATTAGTCTGATTTAACATAAACTACAGCTTTTAAATACGTAGCTCTGTTTGCTGTATTTATTTTACAACACTGTTATTATCCGTTTATTGCGCAGATAAAGCACAAGCGAGACTAAACAAATGAAGAAAGACGAATAATCCCGAACAGAAGCCGAATGAACACGAACACATATAACAGATTTTCTCGATACATTGTAGCACTCACTGTAATCCTGACGCTCATCTCCGACTTCCGCTGCATTTCCGCCTTCTGCGCATGCGTCAAATCAGCTGTTAATTATTGCTCAGCGATGCTCGAAAATGAGCTGACGCTTTAGTTTAGGGACCAATTCTCACTATTAACTAGTTGCGTATTAGCATGCATATTATAGCATATTGGCTGTTCATATTCTGCATGACCATATTTTAGATCCCTCTATTCAACTCAATACCTAAATTTAACAAGCAATTAATAAGCAGCAAGTAGTGTGTAGTATAGTGAGAATTGGTCCCCAGTGTGACCAAAATATTATTATTTTATTTTTAAAATGTAACTTTGTTAATTAATTGCTAAATGCTACTAATAGTGAGAATTGGTCCCCAGTGTGACCATGCAGTGTTGGGGTGCCTCAAGGACCAGGGTTGAGAACCACAGGCTTAGAACATATTTTCTGGTTGCTATTTTTATTTTCACCACTAGATGGAGACGCGTTTCCACTTTTAAAACTACTCATTCTATACATCTTATATATCTGAGCACTAAATCATGAACACACTCACATACACACTATATAGCATCACACTTTCACTTCTGTAGAAGCAGTGAATATCTATAACGGCCTATTAGCATCATATCATTAATTATATAGCAAAGAAGTTCAGTTAGCTCATATTAATTTGCACGTCCCTTTTTTAAGAGACTTATCTCCACAATTTAGGAAACAACTTCAAATGTTTAACTGATGATGTTGTTTTTACACTAGTAACAGTTCAAACAAATATGTGAATAGTATGTTCATGTATTAGAACTGCGCTCGTGCCCAGGTGAAGGATACATGTGCAAACCCTTCATCATCTTCATCATCCTTCAGTCTGAATCTCATTAGAGTCTCACAGCCTGCAGAGCATCACAGCAGCCGTCTGCATCCACACAAGCCCGTCGACATGAGATCTCACTGCATCTGCATGGTAACAAAACTGTTAGAAGAATGTGAAGAGATAGAGAAGTTGTTTGGAGTGAAGCACAGATGCTAAATAATCTGTGTGCTGCTGTTTCAGGTGTGTTTTGTGCTGTGTGTGTTTGGATGGCATGATCTGGATAACAGTGAATATGACTGCTGGCCGCTGGAAAAACCAGATGAACTCAACATGATCGACTGCGGAGGTGCGTCTCACTTTGAAACTGTTTTCACTTGGAAATTACTAGGACACTTCATGTAATTAAATGGCAAAATGGCATGTAACACATTTGAATTAAACACTAAATTATAAAGCAGAACACCTGAAATAGTTTTTTTTTTTTTTGTAAAATGCACAGCAATCTTTGTTTTATCTTCAACTATTTAAAAAACTGAGAAACCTCATTGTTTTACTGTATATAGTTTTAAAATTAAGATTGTTAAATGTGTTTGCTGCAGCTGGTATAAATTCTCCAAAGTACTTAAAACTACACATATTTTCTTTTGCAACAAATATTGTTGCACAATATAACACATTACTGATTAATTTAATGGTTAACTAATGATTATGGGGAATGATCATGTCCTGCAGCTTTGATTCATTATTATTATTATTATTATTATTTATCACAGATGAATAGAAAGTTAAAAAGAACAGCATTTGTTTGAAATAGAAATCTTTTTTTTATTATTATAAATGTCTTTACTGTCACTTTCAGCACATCAGTTTTCAACATTGATAATAATAAGAAATGTTTCTTGAGCAGAAAATCAGCATATTAGAATGATTTCTGAAGATCATGTGACACTGAAGACTGTTATTATTTTATTTTTTAAAATGTAACTTTGTTAATTAATTACTAAATTTAACTAATAGTGAGAATTGGTCCCCAGTGTGACCAAAATATTATTATTTTATTTTTAAAATGTAACTTTGTTAATTAATTGCTAAATTTAACTAATAGTGAGAATTGGTCCCCACTGTGACCAAAATATTATTATTTTATTTTTTAAAATGTAACTTTGTTAATTAATTACTAAATTTAACTAATAGTGAGAATTGGTCCCCACTGTGACCAAAATGTTATTATTTTATTTTTTAAAATGTAACTTTGTTAATTAATGACTAAATTTAACTAATAGTGAGAATTGGTCCCCAGTGTGACCAAAATATGATTATTTTATTTTTAAAATGTAACTTTGTTAATTAATTGCTAAATGACAGTTTAACAGAGATTCACATAGAAACTGTATTTTACATTTGTTTTTGAATAAATAAATGCAGCCTTGCTGAGCAGAAGAGACCTTTTACGAAAATACATAAATCTTAATCCAATTTGTGTGTGTGTGCTTGTGTACATCCGTGTGTGTGTGTGTGTGTGTGTGTGCTTGTGTACGTCCGTCCGTGTGAATGTGTGTGTGTGTGTGTGTGTGTGTGTGTGTGCGTGTGTGCGCGTGTGTGTGTGTGTGTGTCCGTGTGTGTGTGTGAGTGTGTGTATGTCCGTGTGTGTGTGTGCAGGTCTAGAGATGGCGTGGGTCCTGCGTCCTCCAGAGAAGGTTCTGAGTGGTGAGGATTTCAGTGTCATTTACTCTGTGACCGTCAGAGATGAGTTTTACCAGTGGGCCATCGACAATGACATCTTCATTCACCGGTATCATCATCTTATATCTATAAATAGATAGATAGATAGATAGTGTACTTGTTGTTTTTAAAAAAGTTGTCTTACTGTATGGCTGCTACCTTGGTCAGGTCTGTCTTGTAAAAGAGATTTTAATCTCAATGAGACTTCCTGGTAAAATAAAGGTAAATAAGATAGGTTCAATATTGCTTTATTAATACCTGAAAGTAAATTTGTTAGATAGATAGATCACAGTACTTTAGGACATTTGTTTTATATTACAAGTTATCTAATATGTTGTTTAAATGTGGAAATAAGGCATTATGTAATTACATAAGCACTCATTTGTATATATTTCCAGAACAGAAATCTGGAGTCAGGTTCAAAATACTTGTTTGATTTTGTTGACATATTAGAGTTAAAGATTTTTACTGAGGGGATTTTAGATTCCTCTTTTTATCACTCCATAAATCAGAAAATACTGTCAACAGACAGAAAACAAACACATTTTTGTCATTTTTTTAGAAATGATATGTCATATAAATCAGCCTGAGTGATATATGAACAAACCCCTATATAAAAACCTTCAGATTACAGAGAGGAATAAAACTCTAAGTTTTGGTGTTTGTAAGTGCTGCTGAAGTGGGGAAAAAAATTTCACAGTCTTTAAAAATATGTCTTTTCAGCATGTTTTTAGGAATAATATGTCATATAAATCAGCCTGAGTGATATATGAACAAACCCCTCTATAAAAACCTTCAGATTACAGAGAGGAATAAAACTCTAAGTTTTGGTGTTTGTAAGTGCTACTGAAGTGGGGAAAAAAATCTCACAGTCTTTAAAAATATGTCTTTTCAGCATGTTTTTAGGAATAAAATGTTATATAAATCGGTGTGATGAAATATGAACAAACCCCTCTATAAAAACCTTCAGATTACAGAGAGGAATACAACTCTAAGTTTTGGTGTTTGTAAGTGCTACTGAAGTGGAGAAAAACCTTTTGAAGAAATGGATTGGAATTTAAATCTACAGAAAACAATAGATAAATTGCAATAAAATAAACATTTGAATGTGTATTTAGGATGTTTTATTTCTACTAGTCTGAAAGAACGCTTTATGAAAAACCAACAGCCCAAAGTCTCAAAATTGAGCAATGCATGAAAAAACAATGCAAGTCTCTTCTTTATAAAACTGTCAGTTGTTGAGGGAGCAAATTAAACTAAGAAATACGAGCTCACATCTTGACGTTTAGCTGCTTTAAAGATTGTTTTGTCTTTTTAAACCGTGTTGCAGTATGGAAGTGTGCTGAAGCCAGCCCCAGCCTGCTTGAGAACCACTGAAAGAGTGTTTATTGATAAACTGATATCCATCAGGTCCATCACAGATCCAGCTGAAGCCAGACGCTTCTGTGAGCAGCACGAATGTCCCGCCGACTGGAAGGATGCGAGCGGAGAAAACTGCTGCATCCATCACGCCAACATCCACTCCTGCCCCATGGGATTCATGGTACAAGCAAATGATAAAGCTGCTGAATAAAGATGAAGAAGCAGCTTGAGTCAATGCGGTTTGTGTTGGTTCTGTAGAAACAGGCGGAGGAGAGGATCTGTGGACCCTGGATCCCAGACGACGGTCGGATATTCACTCACACCATCTCCACTTCTGGAAAAATTAGCCAGACCAACTGGAGCGCCAAGGTCACACACACACACACACTCTCACACTCTCTCACACACACACACACACACACACACACACACTCACACACACACGCACGCATGCACACACGCTCACACACAGTCAGACGCACGCACACTCACACTTACACACACTCACGCACACACACACACACACGCACACACACGCGCACACACACACGCGCACACACAGACTCACACACACACACACACTCACACTTACACACTCACACACACACGCACGCACACATGCTCACACACAGTCAGACGCACACTCACACTTACACACTCACACACACACTCACACACACACACACACACACACTCATGCACGCACACACGCACACACACACGCACACACGCACACACACACACTCACACACACTCATGCACGCACACGCGCACACACACGCGCACACACACACACACACACACACACACACACACAGTTTACTGCTGTATGTCAGTGTTGTGATCTGTGTTTTCTGTGATCAGGTGGTGTTGTTTCACGAGGGATTGACGTCTCTCATCGCTCACATCCGTGTGGGAAACATGCAGGTCGCACTGGAGGCCAAGAGCACCGTCCTGCCCGCGATCAGTACTGTATCTGTGTGTGCTTTAGCATGTGTTGAGTGTACACTACCGCTGAAAGCTTTGGGGTGTTTTTTAAGAAATTAATACTTTTATTCATCAAGGATGCATTAAATTGATCAAAAGTTACAGTAAAGACATTTA